TCCATCCTATCGTAGATTTATGATAATTAATGTCAATGTCAGTAGTAAAGTAGCAGACAGTATTAGTCACTGTAGTGATGAAAAAGTAAAAAAAAAGTTAATTTTTCTCTTGAAATGGAAAAGCCGAAATGATTACATAAAATCCAGAGAAGCATTAATTTATTATTCTTTTTTTAAAATTATTTAAAAGTCTACAAAAGGACCAGTTCTCACCGCCGACCAGATCACTAAACTCATTGTCTGCCTGCGGGACAACATCCACTCCCCAGACCGGAAGCAGCTGACCCGGGGACTGCTGGAGCTCCGAACCACGCTCCTGGCTGCTGCAGTACCAGTGAACAGCCTGCAGGCGGTGCTGTTCAGCTTTCAAGATGCGGTGAGTTTTCAGTGTTATTCAATGGCCACAGTTTTCAGCTCTTGAAGCCCTGATTGAACTGACTGACTCCTCGGACTGACAGGTGAAGAAGGTGTTGAAGCAGCAGCAGGTCAAACCTCACTGGATGTTTGCCCTGGACAACCTGCTGAGACAAGCAGTGCAGGACTCCATCAGTGTCCTGCTCCCAGGTACATGAGTTCTCACTTCAGTTTGTTTTTTTATAAATCAAAAAACAGGTAAAGATTTAAAAAAGTTTCACATTCACACATTAGGTAAAAACAAAAACGGGAATCTGAAATATTTTGACAATATCAAATATATAAATGTGATTACACATGTGATGGATAAAATAACCAAGATAGAATTAAAATAACTCCAACTCCTGGTCCGGGGACCAGTGCCGGTCCGTAGGTCATTTGGTGCCGGTCCACAGTGGGACACACTGTGAAAGACTATAATAATAATATATGTATATAACTTTGGCAAAAAAACAGTAAAACACCAGGTCATCATGTTTAAATTCCCCAAATGCAGTGATGTCAAATACCCATAATGCAGTATTTCTCAAACTGTATTCTAATTACCAAATTATTTGTTTTTTCCCAGTAACATCAGTATGAACTGCTCACTTGTTCCTTAAAGGAAACAATTTTTCCAGTCTCCCACTAGAGGGAGCCTAAGTACCACCAGTAATACAGTCACCATAGTTTGAGAATCACTCTTTATATTGTGCCCCGTTGCCCCCTACAGAGCTGAAGCTGCAGCTGCAGTCGTCTTTTGAGAATGAAGACAGTACACCAGAGGAGCAGATCGACGACCCAGCGACACCTGTAGTATTATTCTCTGACCAGCAGGGGGCCGTGGCCGATCGGCAGGAATCAGTGTCAGTGATCGACGTCTCCCCCGTGGCTGCGGCTCACTCCCCCACGGACCTTGTCATCAGTGTTAGCTTCCCCCTCAGTGAGAAACTCCGACAGCTGCGTTTGGAGACCAGAAGGTAACGAGCGTCGGCGCTGTTTCTTATATTTCACGGTAACGTAGTCTGACGTGAAGCCGTGGCGATGTGACGATGGACGTTTGTGTTTCAGACTTCTGAGTCAGCTGAGCGACAAGGAGAAGGAGTACCAGGAGCTGCTCCGGGCTACGCTGCAGCAGAAGCAGGAGCACATCGACGCCCTGAGGAACGGGGGCGTCGTCCAGAGTAATGATTTGTTTTTACAAACCTGCAGTTACTGTAGTGAACAGTAGGTGGACAGACGCACGCAAAAAAAAAGATCTGTGTGTTTTCATGATTTGTGACGACCTTGACTGGAATTTATAATTTCACTGAACTACCAGGAGTGGGGTTTGAACCCACGAGGACTACTGTCCATTGGATCTTAAGTCCAACGCCTTAACCACTCGGCCATCCTGGTGGTGGAATGTGGTAGTTCACCTTGTTTTGGCCTGAAACCAATGGTTAATTTGAGTCGTGTCCTGACACGATCTGCCACCTGTGTCACAGTGACAAAAAAAAAAAAGTTGCCAGAACCAGTTCCTGGAACTTCCACTTCACTTCCACAAATTATTGAGTGTGTTCCTGGACTGTGTTCTCTCACACACACACCCACACACACACACACACCCCTCAGCCTCGGGCTGCTGCTCTCTGTCTGACTGGTTTGTGTCACAGGTGTCCATCATCAGTTTGTCAGTTAATGATTTTACCGTGAGGTGTTTCTGGTCGTGTTGTGTCCGTTACAGTCACTGACGGTGTGTTACGTGTTACAGGCAGTGACGTCTGTAACTCACAGAGGTGGAGTTCTACCCCAGAGGTGGAGACCATGGTGCACTGGCTCAAGTCTGTCCCTGTAGACCAAGACACGATTGATAAGGTAGGCGACCTGCCCCCTACTGGTACTGCTGTGCACTACACTCTGTTCTGTTTTGTTCTGTTCTGTTCTACCCAGTGTTAACGTGGGTCATGTGACCTCCTCTCCCCTCCCCTCCTCTCCTCTCCTCTTGTCCAGCTGCTCTCACATGCCTTCACCCTGGACTGTCTCTGCTCCATGGCCTCCAAAGACGATCTGATGTACTGTGGTGTAAAGTGAGTCTCCTCCACACTCCTCTGACTCCTCTGACTCCTCTGACTCCTCCACACTCCTCTGACTCCTCTGACTCCTCTGATACCTGTGATTAAAGTTAAACTGAAGAAACAGGTCAATTTACAACCAATATTTGAACGATCCTCCTCTCACCCCCCGCAGTAAAGAACTACAGAAAATTTAAATAATTTTAAAAAATGAACCAATTTAAATATGACACACATTTCTGTTTTAAAAATGTTGGATTAATTTATATGTTTATTTTATCATTTTTTAATAAATAGGAAAATATTTAAGAAAACTGTACAAAAATGTAAACTAAACCAAAAACCAAAAAAGACCTCCCTGCAGTACCGCCATGGACTCTCTAGGGGCTGCGTGCTCCCTGTTGAACCACTGGCCTGTTGTTTGAAATTGTGATTTATTTTAAACTGTGCCAAGTATAAACACGTATCATTATTTTTACTTTCAAAACAAAGTTTTTGAAATAATACACAGGTTCATAGATTTGTGGTTTTATTTTTAACCCTTGAGTGACTGTGACACTGCCATCTACCTGTCAGTTGATGACAATGCCCTGATCAACATGACTACTAATACAAGATATTCAAACTATATTTTTTTTACATATTTAAAATTTTAAAAAAATTCACAGAACAAATTTATGACTGTGTTGTAGTATCTCTGCCAACCCCCAGGGGTCACACCCCCCCTGTTGAACACCTCTGATTTCAGAGATGCTTTCTAACTAATACATCACCATGTTTGCAGTTGGATTTTTTTCTTTTTTTTTCTTTAACACCTGTGTCACTGTTGTGTCAGAGGTGGGATGCTGTGTCGACTGTATGCAGCCATCACAGCCCTGAGACAGAACCAGTCCAGCACCAGCAGGGACAGTGAGGACACTCATCTTTAATGTCGTTCATCCAAACATTCGGCTCATTCCTAATGTACCAGAGAAGTTACTGATGAAGTCAAGTCTGTTGGAAAGAAGATTTTTTTTAAACATCTGTGAATGTATTTTTTTTTTTCATCATGATCATTTTTTATAGTTTTTGTCCGTTGTTCTAACTGTAGCTGCAGGATTCAGGAACCAAACACTTCAGTCTGTAAATCTTCACTGCCTGTCTGTCCCGACCTCTGACGACCTCAAACACTGTTTATTCTACAGCCTTAAAGTGTCACAGCTTCAGGAAAGACAGTTTTTTTTCTCCCAGTCCTGGGAATGTATTTAAAACACTCACTGGTCCCACTGGTCCGTGTGTTTGTGCTTCCTAACCTTTTTTAAGCACATGTTTTAGATTAGAAAATTCCCACAGTGCACTGCCAAAACAACAACATCACAAATGTACGTATGTAATGAGTTAAAATGATCTTCTAGTCTCATTTTACCAACAGCGTACTTACTAAAGTTGAACCGCTGTCATGTTGAGTTGAACACAACATTGATATACCTGCAGGAATTGAAGAAAGACACACACAAAGATTTTTAACGGAGCTGTCTTATTTTTGTTTTAATAGCCATTTGTTGCCACCTAGTGGACATATTAAATTGGTCTGCCAGTCAATGTGGCTTTGACAAACAAAGTCAACTTTGTAATAAATATTTTTCAGACCAATTAAGTGAAATTACAAACCTGGTAATTTCTCACATCACACTGGTTGTGATTAGAGTAGTAGATTAGATAAAATATTATTTATAAATAGAGGCTTTTTCTTGAATTGCATTCCAACTTCTTGTCTTACTCCGTTTCAAAGATCTTCCAAAATCTTCACTGATATGTTTTGTTTTTTGTATTGCTTTTTCTCAGGGTTTAACTTGTTGGACTAGATGTTTTTCTGTAAAAATATCAGGTGAAATTATGAATTTAGACACAAAACATTTCATCATTATTTTTAATGATGCTCTTCTATGCAAAACTTAGATGGACCGATTTTGTTACTTATATTAAAATGTTTAGTTGCTTTGTTTAATCTCTTTTGAATCTTTTATTTTTTTATATCCTCAAGTTTGTGTAAATAATAAAAGAGGAAAACTGCGTCTTGTTTTTCCATATTTTTTTTTCAGCTGCAGTAACAGAATGATCCATAAAGTCTGACCCCAAAACACATTCCACCCTCTTTTATTTTTGTTGTTGTTTCTTTTCTATTGCAAGTGATTTGGGACAACGGCCAGAAGAAATGAAATGAAGTGGGAAAATAAAACAAACCCAGTAGGTGGCGGTAATGCCACTCACAGGTTTGAGATCTTGTCAGTAAGGACCAAAGAAGAAGTGTAGTCAAGGTTGGCTGACCTACTGCTGATGCTCACAAACAAACAATAACAATTACCATAACAACTGAACAATTAACCATTAACTATCAAATTACCATTAACTGAACAAAAAGCTGAGTGGACAAGAGCACAAACACACTGTGTGTGACGTTGATCCATATGGTTGAACTATGTGTGTGTGAGTTTGTGTGTGTGTTGCTGTTTTTAGCCCTGTTTTCTCTTCAATGCTAAGTTTGACCGGTGAAACTTTTACCGTGATGGTTTCCTCTTTATAAATGGAACCTAGGGGTCGTGGCGTAGCCTTCACCCCTCCCCCCTACTCTAATTGTGGTTGTCATGGAAATGAAAGGACGGGTGGAGGGGCTGGGGGGGAGGGGGGGGGGGGGGTGAGGGGGTCAGCCTCTATTATTGAAGCAGTTGTGGGACTGGCAGTGAAATGGAGCGACTCATGCACGCACAAACACGGAGTGCGCTGGAGCATGAGGGATGTGGAAGTGGAGGTTGGCCAGAGAAAAATGAGGGAAAAGAGAGAACAGATAATCGACCCCTCCTGCCCCCCCCACCCTCCACCCCACACACCCACCCGCAGGGTGAGAAGAGAGAGTATCCATGCAGCTCCACGTGTTCTGCTCTGGACTGATGGCGTGTTTCAGACCGTTATGTCACGGCCTGCCGGGCGCTCTGAGGCTGATGTGGAACCACATCCTGGTGGAGCGGTGAGATAAACATGTGGTCCTGCCAACTGCTGGCTCAGGGCCGGGATAATGGACACACGTTAATGAGCCGATGGCCGGAGGCTGGGTTAGAACCATCAGAGAATGAACAAATACAAGTTTGATTATATTTAACTTATATCAAAACAGAAGTTTAATTTGGCAACGGGTCGCAGGTTTGATTCCCAGTATGATTGTAGAGAGCTGAGTAGATGGTAAAAATGCCACCCCTTAAGTCTGCACTGCCCCCAGGGGAGGGGGTAAATGCAGAGGACAATATTTTAGTGTTTGTTTACGTACAATGAAGTGGGAACTTTAACGTTAACTTTTCATACTAAACCAACGACAGGTGTGAATGTGAGTGTGAATTACTGCTCCGTCGCCCTCTCTCTCTCTTGCTGCACCCCTGTGAGTTTCTGTCCCTCTCTCTCACCCTCTCTGTGTGCCCCCCGTCCTCTCTCTCTGCAGCTGCAGCTCCTAAATCAGGTTCTTTCTTGACCGTCTCTGAATGGACAGATGAGGTTGGGTCACTCTGCCTCCTGAATACACAAGGAATTTTCTTATGGCGGAGGAACAGGTCCACTGGCTCCTCACAGACCTGTGAAGACTTTTGAACAGTTAACCTAACGCTGCATGTTTTTGGGCTTTGGGGACCCAGTGTGTGTGTGTGTGTGTGGGGGGGTTGACCATCCAGTTCTTGTGATGACTGCAGTGATTAGTTCAAGCTCCTCGCTCGCCTCGGTAAATAGGATTAACCAGAGGGAATGGTATGAGTACTTCTTATGTGCACAGGTATTTGTGTCTAAGTACGTGCTGTGTACCAGCTCAAGAGTCTGTTGTTGGGATGAGAATAAATGGATGAAAGGATTGGAGGCTGGAGATACTTCAGTTAATCTTTTTACGATGCAAGTTTTTTGTTTGTTTTTGTTTTTAAGGGAGTTGTGTTGGTGCCATAACTTTCATTCTTTCAATCACCATTAGAACAAGGTCAAGAAAACGAGCACGTTTTCAGTAACTGATTCAAATTCTGTAAAAAAAATAAAAAAATTACCCCCACCCCACCGCCACTCTATACATGCTGTGGATTAACCCAGCCCCCACACCTTATAGTGTCTCCCACTTCCCAGTTGCGGTGACAGGTGGCTCTTTGGAGGTTTTGAGTGACCTCAACTCAACAGATGCACAAAGGAACCCCCTACTGAGGTCCTTTTGACAGGGCGCCCCCTCTCAAGTGTGCCGGTCAGCCCTTGGCCCTGCACCCACCCCCACAGATGCCTCGACACTCGTCCACAGGTGGTAGATGAGGAGATACTGTGAGAAGTCCTTACAACTGCTGTGACAGAGATCCAATCTTAGAAATGTATTTAATTTTTTTCCCCCTAAAATAATATTCAGTACTGTGGAATTCTTCTCTCTCTCTCTCTCTCTCTCTCTCTCTTTTTTTCATTTTTGTTTTTGCAGTATTTTTTAAAAACCAGAAGAACAACGTTAAACTACAGAGGGCTGGCTGTTTAAATTTCTTTTTTTTAATTTAAATTTACGAGTAATATATAAAGAGGCACAACTTATCTGACTGAAACACCACCGAAGAAGAGTAGACATTTACCGGAAGGATATGTAGCGAAATACCTGTTATTTTTATTTTTTTTAAAAACCACAATGAGGCGGCTAGCTCGCCAGACAATGTGACGTAATCGGGATTAAATCAATAAGAAAACTTCTAAAGTAAAGTAAACTCGTTAACTCGGGTGTTTTGTCGGTAATATTCTATTTTTTGCCACCAACTCAACGCTTTGGTTAGTGTATCTCAAATATACACCTGCTCGTCTGTAATATTTCTGAGAACGAAGCCATTTTTTTTAGCTTTTTTTCCCCCTCGGTCCCCCCTGCTGTTTGAAATGGTACAGTCCGCTCTATTAGCGGCGGCTCAGCATCAGCTGTGGCCTGAGAGTCGAGGCGGGAGCAACTTCTTCTACCGCTCTCTGAAAAAAACGAACTCCCACGCGGTTTTAACTTCAGCCGACTCTGCGTCAACAGGTTCTAATTTATTTAAACATTATTCTTTTTCTTTTTTTAACTTTTAACAACTCGGGCTCGGACACCATATTGAAGAGTTCCCTGCTCGGTTCACCCAGGACACCGGGACACCAGAGCGAGTTTGCTCTCCCCCCCATCTCGACTCAGCCCCCGGGAAATGAGAGGACGAGCCGTGAGCTCGCATGTTTGATTGAACAAAAGGCCAAAGGAACCCAGGTTTGTGCTGCCGACATGGATGACAACACGGCGCCGGGAGCTTCTGGTAAAGACCTCTGGTAAAGCCCCTCACAGTGGTGACTGTGTCCTTTTTTTTTTTTTTGCTGTGTAACGTTGCTGTTAACTTTAAGAGCTGTGGCTTCCGTTTGTTTTAATGGTAGATAATAATCACGGCCAGGATGAGGTGCAGGTACAGTACGAACGTTAACAACGAAGCCGTAATTTAACTTTACGTGATACTGAAAAATGTCATCCATCACTTTTTTACGTGCCTGATGATGCATAAAAAATCACCTGACTACTGCGAGCTTCTGTTCTGTATTCCACGCTGTCATTAAGGACAGTAGAAGGTTATAAGCCCCCCCCCACGCCCCCTCCCAACACACACATATTTTACACCAGATAAAATCATCACTAGTCCCATGCAATCCTCCAACCTCCTATATCCTGATTGGATCTCCATTAGTTCGGTTTGGTCCAGTACAGAGAACTATCACCTTCATCACCAACACGTCATTGAACCATTTTAGTACCAGGTGAAATTCACCAAGAGCAGTTAAAACATGTACACTGGTGCCAACACTGCAGTGTTGAGGTTTTCACGACTGTATTTGTATTACACACACGTATATATGTGTATATATATATGTATAGAGACTACACTAGAAACAGTGACGCCATGTTGTTTGTGGTTAGCAGACATTAGGATTTATTGTCATGTGTATAATTGTTGATATTATCCACAGTATCGGTGAATACAGACAGTCATTTCACATATCTACAAGCTAAACTTCAGTTTGAAAATGAAATAGTTTCATACTGAGATGTTCCTCCCCTCCAAAAGACTTTTGTGATTAAGTCTTGATCAGGCTGGTACTGACATCGCACCTGTAATTTGAACTATAGCTACAGTCTGAGTCACTGGTGTTGCCCCCAACCAATGAGTGATCTTGTCATCGAGTCGTTATGGCATGAGAGCAAATGCAGTACTGTTTCAGAGAGTAACGCTTCACTGTCTTTGGCCCTGGTTCCTGTGTTCCTCTTTGAGTTACTGGTGGCTGATAATAACAGTGAGGAAATGCTGTTCTCGCACAGAATTGATTACGAGGTGCGACAGAGATGTTTTCGTTTCCTGAGCACCAATCAACACAAAGCCATTATATATATATTTATATATGTAGTTAGTTGTTAAGTTAGTTAGTTGGATAAGGGTTGGGCTGATTGACTGCAAGTTAAATTGCAATGCAAAGACTTTCTGATATCTCCATATTAAAACAAACAGTATTAATTGTTGATGGTGATCAACAAGCCTCTTCATGGTGTAGAGGAGCCTCCAAGGTGGAGGAATGAGTCACAAGGGACCAGGCTGCAGACGGACCAGTTCTGCGCCTTTGTCCTGCAGTTCTGTTTTAGGACAGTGACACATAGTCAGCTCTTCTGACGTTTTTGTTCTCCTTCAAACAGGATTTAAAATGAAATCTCAATGTTCATTGGTCTAAAAGCGTTTCATCAAAACTGGTTAGAGCTAGAACTGTTCAAAACGGTCAAGTCATGGTTAATTTCAGCTTTAATGCTGAGTCAGTTTTATATTTATATATTTTAACATACACAGTGGTAGGATACGTGCATGTTCAACAGTTCAATTCCACCTTCCACGGGACCTTAGTGCTACAGTACCTTTACTTGCTTGATGGTATGCTAATGAGAGAAGTGGTCTGAAGTAGTGTCTTCGACAACAACAGGCTTGATGGTATGCTAATGAGAGAAGTGATCTGAAATAGTGTCTTCGACAACAACGTTTGTGAAAATGCCAACTGAGACATTCAGCAGCACAGCATGCGACTCATTTTTCATTCACTGTTCTGTCCTTCATGCACAGTGATGGTGCGGATGGCTGTTGTGTCAGAGCTCGGAACAAGACGTTCTCGCTCATATATCCAGAGTAACGTTAAACCCATCCAAGTCACTCCTGGTGTTGATGTTAGCGCCATTAATGTTTCAACTCCCTATCACCAAAGCATATGAATGATCGTATCTTCTATAATTACGTTCTGGATGATGAGGTAGAGTCTGGTTGGCTCAGGGTCTGGCTCTGGTTCCTCTCATGCACCAATGTCCTGCTGATAATTGCCGGTGAATTATTATTATCTTGATTCTGTTGTAATTTGTCTGAATCAAATCGAAAATGTTAATGCAAACAAACTGAATATTTGACCTATATTAACCCAATGAAATTGCTGATAAAATCAAATGGAATAGTGATGTTGATAATGCATTTAGAATTGGTAAAGTCAGTCCCAATCCCTCCTGTGTCGACCAATGATTTAGAGACTAGCTGGAAGGTGTTCTCTATTGCTTCTCTAACACAGGTCATGTCCTGTCATTGCTCGCCCCCTCTGTTGCCTACAGATGGCGTAAGTCAAAGTGCCCAGACACTGATCTCTCATCAGCTAGACCAGAGGTGAAGCTCAAAGGCAGCGCCCTGGAAAAACAAATAATGCAGAAAGCTTGTCCATTAGGCAGCACTCAGTGGGCCAACTGTCTGCAGTGTTCTTCCAGGAAATCACTGCTGAATTGGGTCAATACACGTCCAAAGTACAGTCACTGTGGACGTGTGTGTGCGTTTGCGAGACCTTGACTGGACTTGACTTATACCACTTTAATATTTAGAACATTTTTGTTTGAAGTAAGCTAAATGCTGATCTTAGTTGAGCAGTATATGATGTTTGAAGTAAGCTAAATGCTGATCTTCATGTACTGGTCTTAGTTGAGCAGTATATGGATGTCAGTCAAACTGGTAGTACTTAGAGAGACAAGTATTTTTAGAGGTGGAACAAGGTGTAAATAGTTTTAGAACCTCAGTGCTTAGGTATTTGAATATTACAGGTTGTTATTTTGTTCTAATGGCCACTGTGGTCATGTTTAATATAGTCATTATATTGTTGTCACTATTTTTGCATGTCACCTGAAAGACGTAGATATATTTAAAATGTACAAATTAACAGTAGTACTTCAGTCTTCAGTACTTCATTATACTTTACCTGCACTAGAGATACACTTGGAACGGTTTAGTTGTTTGGCATTTATCCCAGCATCAAATATTAAAAAAAAAACAGAGTCACACAGGTGAATGTCTTTGGCACTGTGTCTTTGGTGAAAGGAAACATATTAAAGGTACATGACAGCTAATATCTATGTCCTTACAAGATATACTGGTTTTGGGGAATGTGTCTGAAAAATGTCTTGAATATCTTATTTCTGGCCTCCCGTCCTCTCTGTAGCTCCTTCTGTTTGTGTGTCTGGTGTGTCTTCAACAGGACACTTTGATTCATATGCTACAGTGAATCATCGTCTTATCTGTTGTTACCGTGGACCTGCAGTTAGCTTCCAGCTGTAGCTAAAGTTGAAGTGAACAGTCGGCCTCTTGTTCTCTGATGATCAGCAGGGTTCTCAGGTTGTCATATGTAGCTCACCTGGTGAAAAACATAGCCCTTGTCATTGTGGTTAATGATGCTGGTTCCCAGCCAACACCTGGTCCACAGTGCCCCCTGTGTTGTGTTACCAGTTTGTACGTAAACGTTAATTACAAATATTACATAAAATGCATTAAAAAAAAAAGAAGAGCCACATGTCGTCGTAGTTGCTGAAAGTGACTAAACACCTTTCTGAAAAACCTTTTTCTTTGAGAAAGGACAGAGGCTGAACAGCTGATACTGTAGTGCTGCAGTGGACCAGCTTTAGTTCCTTTCACTCCGGGACATTTGAAGGACCAGAGGAGGAAGTCTGGATCCGGACAGTGACTCTGGTTCCTGTCATTCTGTCAGATCTGGAAGTTTCTGCAGACGTGTCTGCTTCTGTTCCACTGAACCCTCCTGTTGTCGGGCCTATCAGCTGATCTGGACTACGCCCTGATCAGTCAAATGTTGTATTATTGGAAAGTACTTTGCCTGGCTGGAATGTTGTCATTGTAATTAGTTAGTAGTTAAATATGAAGGTTTGTAGCCACCTGTGTTTTAATGAAACCCTTCATTAGACTCTGACAAGTTGTTGGTTTTTCTGTGGGTAAAAAAAAAACACAAATCCTTTTAATGATTACTGTTGGTGTAATTGAATATTGTGCACACAGTTTAAACAGATTACTGTTTATGACACGTCTTTGTTAGAGCTAATGTTCAGAGTGATATCAAATCTGGGACAAGGCGGTACGTAACGACCCGCCAAACAGACAGCTATAACACTGAGATTGTACTTCATTTGATTTTCAAGGGACATTTTTGATTTTATATCTTTAAATGTAAAGCATATTAAAATATATATATATACACTGTATATATATATAAGGAACGTCCTTATAGTCGTCAAACAAGAATGGTCCGTCTGTATGAATCGCCAGTCTGCCAGTCTGAGGACAATGTTATTATAATTATGTTGTTGTAATGTTTTTTTTTCTCTCACATGATTCTGGTATGATGTCATCAGTATGAACAGATATTGGCAGTCAGAGTTTGTGTATTTTTAGGGCAGTACTTTGATAACACAGTACACAACGGTGGATGGTATCTGTTGGCTGCATTGGATACGTTTTTGTCAACAGTGTTAGCACTTTAGCCTTATAGCACGGGTTCCCAAAGTGGGGAGGCAGGCCCCAACTAGAGGGTGCAACAAGGCAAATTATTGTCAATTTAAATTAGGGGAATTTTTTATTTAAATTTAAATAAGGTTCTGTGGTTATTTAGAGCTAGAGCTGTGAAGGTGTCGTTGTGGACGTCTAGACATTAGTTCTGGATCGACTCCAGCTGCTCAGTGTCACTGACCAGAACTGGGCTGAAAAGATGGATAGATTCAGTTTTTATCCAATCATGTAGTCAGTTCTCGGAGTTGGCACCTGGTTAGTCGTCGTCAGCAGTTTTCGTGTGTTGAAGAGGATTAGTGGAATGCTGAGCAGGGCAGAGCTCCAAACGGATCTGTGGAGGTCCTGCAGGGTGGGTTGAGATTTGGGTTGGTTAAACTTTTAAACATTAACACTATTACAGATTGAACAGTGTT